TGTTGTTGAAGGTCCTTTAATCTTATCAGCAATCTTTTGCCCTACTGCAGTGCCTGCTGAAGATGCCGCCCCTGTAGCGAAAGCTTTACCGGCGTCAAGTGCAATGGGCGCTACTTTACGCGCGATTCCTGGAATATTCTCTGCAATTGTTGTAAATATATTTCCAAAAAATCCACCTACAATTTTTCTTCGATAAACTTTTCTTCGTCTCATTTTATAAAATTATGTACACAAAATCACATGCCTAAGCAGTGCGTAGGTGTAAGTAATACGTGACTATCTCGTTGTTCACGTCTATTTGTCGTCCAGATTGGTCTGTGAGTTGCATTGTAATGCTTGTAATTTGATTCTCAGGTGTTATTGGATAGTAGATAATCTGTCGCGGAGTGATTTGCATGAGAGAACCCGGTGGGACTTCTGGTGAGAAACTGTAGATCGTTTGCCCGCGGTTGCCTTTTGACGTATAAGATCCAGATGCGATAGAGCAATTGATGAGTATTGTATTTATTTCTGTGATATCTACTGGTAGTTCTCCATCAAATGTCAAAGATTTATCTTCACCGGTGGTATAGTATAAAACTCTAGTAAAACCTAACATCTTTCCAAAACTTCTTTCTTCAAAGAGGACTTTCATATTTCTTTTCACTGTTATCCTAGCTCGTAAGGTGTTATAATTCGCCGCTAATTCGAAATTATCAGCATTCCCACCAGCTTTTGTTAGAAGCTCTTTTATTGTTCTGTTTAGATCAGTAATGTTATAAGCTCCTTGTGGAATCTGTAGTTTGTATTGTATATCAATAAACTCTTTTTGTGATGTTGGAGATTGTTTAACATTAACGATTAAAATTTCATCATTAATCCCAGTTCTAATATTCGGCATGGCGTTCCAACAAGTACAAGAAATTAATCCAATCTCATACTGTTTTGCAGGATCTAGTTCTATTGGTGGGTTGTAATTTACTGTAAAATTCGCGCTGTTTCCTGTTATTTGTGATGAATCAAGCAATAATGTTGTTTGCATTATACTAATATTTTAGATAAGATCGCGGTGTAAAATTTCGTACTCGGATGATGTTAGTAATCCACTCGATCTTAGATGATCAAGTATATCAATAATTTCGTTATCAATCTCTACACTTTCATTACCAGCTTCTTTAGAGGATATCAACAGCATTAGCCGATCGACTATGTCTGCGTTTGATGTAAAAACTTTAACTCCAGATCCAGTCTTTTCCTCTGGTAATTTTTTATCTCGCATGTTTTCATATTGTTTGAGTAGTCTTTTAAAATCCCATCCTTTACTATAACCTCCTAGTTTATTTCGATATTGTATTGATGTTTTTAGTAAAATTTCAGCCATAATTCCATCTCTAATATAATTGAGTAATGTTGGAATATTTTCTTCATCTTTTTGATCTTTAATTTCTTCATCAGCATGTAAACCATTTTTTATAATTTCTCTTAATTTTTCCATCAAATTATCATAGTTTTCTTTTGACCAATCTCGAATACTATTAATATTAGTGATATTATTATTTTCCATAAACTCTTCATACTCAACATATTCTATTTTAGACCTAGCTTGTCTTCTGTAAAATATGATAGTATCCTCAAGAGGCATTATTTTTATCATACTTTCTTGTAACGTTTTTTGTTTCTCAGCTAATTCCTCAGTTTGTTCTGACAATTTTTCCATCATACTTCTTATCTCATCTGGATTAACCGTCAATCTTGTTATTGCGTGTTGAAGTTCAAGAGGATTGTTCATTAGCCTGTCAAACTCAGCTTGTCGTGCAGCAGGATCAGCAATGTTTCTTACAAGTTCGTTTACAATTTTTACAGTTTCTTCTTTTGATCTTTCTCCACGTAAACCAAACAAACCCTTTTCTTTCATTTTTGTTAGTTCTTCTGGAGATGATGTTTGTATTTCTAGCTGCTTGCCAAGCATCGCCTCAGTAACAGGTTTGAAAAATTTGGTTCTTTCTTCTTCTGCTTGAACTTGTCCACGTCGAGCTTCTTCCACCTTTTTCTTAAAAGCCGCTCGAGTTTCGAGAAACTTTTTTAGTAATTCGATTTTCTGTTGATGTTTGTCCATTATTTTTATACGCTTTACAAAATTATATCATAGAAACGTCTCAAGGCAACAACGAAACATTTTGGTTGGATCACGCGCTAGCTTGTCAAATAAAAAGAAACTATATCGATCTTTAGTTGCTCGATGATATAATTCGATAAATTTATCTTTTGTAACATCACCACATTGTTCGTTTGCAATATTTCTCACATCCACATTATCTAGTCCGGGAAATAATATGAAACAACCCGTATTTCGCCTAATAAACCTATCAACATTATAAAAACCTTGGGCAAGATAAACAGAATTACATCTTTTATTACGTGATAGTGAAAAATATGATCTAATCTTGTTCATTTCCTCATTGTTTAGCGGAATATCATCAAAGACGATTATCTTCTGCTCTGACGAATCGAGTTCATTCACTGGAACGAGTTCTTCTGGTTGTTTTATCAAAAATATATCATCACCAATGCCAAGTTCATCACGAAGTTTATCATTATACTCGTTTAATAATTTGTATTTGTCTTGTTGGGGGTTGATGGTGTAAATATACACCTTATCATAGTTAAAGTTATTATTGAGTAAAAGATTTAATAACAAATTTGTTTTACCAGATCCAGTTCGCCCAACAATAAGATAATGACAGTCTGGAAGTTCATTGTTATGTTTATGCTTCACCAATCGCTCGGTGTCAAAGTTTATTATCTTCGCCATCGTATAATTTTATGTTATATTAATCCAACAATTTTGTGTAGAACGGTATGTATAATGAGCTACTATACAAAATTTGGAACATTAGCAGTAGATTTATTAACAGAAGGTTACCAGGGTGACTTATCCAAGTATGCAACTCTTGATAAGCTCAAAAATGAAATCAACAATTTGTTAAACGTTGCAAGTGTAGATCCAAATGAAGTTGTAGTTTTCCAGGACAAACAAGGACGATTAAAGACGAGTAATGTACAACTATCAGATGTACTAGTACGAAATCCTACTGCAGTTGCTAATAATATTGTTACTTTTAATAATCAAGGTAAGATAGAAGATTCGGGTAGGTCAGTTAACGATTATGTTAGAAAAGCAGGTGATTTATTTACGGGAAACATTGTTATGAACCAGAACAAGATCACATACCTTGGAAACCCAACTGAGGATAATGACGCTGCTACTAAGAAATATGTTGATGATCAGGAATCAAAGTACGTGTCGGTGCGTGGCGGTATAATGCGTGCATTTCTCAACATGAACAATAATGGCATCAATAATCTTAGAACACCAGAATCTGATTTTGATGCTGTAACAAAGAAATATGTTGATGATATCAACAATGAAATTACTAAGTTCAAAACTGATTTTACTAATCACATCACCACGTTTTTAAATTTTCGCAGAAACATAAACAAAACCAATAACGAATTTTTTGGAAGTCCGCCATCTGTTGATATTACACTCGATAATATTAACACAAAACTCAACGATATTATTAGTGGAATTCCTAGTATTGTTGAGAAAACGAGTATGATTAAAATTCCTCACAAGCAGATTAAAAATATTGTCTATACTGTTGCTTCTGGAATGTCTACTTGGTCGCCGCAAAATAACACTCTCAAACATACTGCAGAGGTCACTGGTGTGTATAGATTGTCCGTGTTGAGCAGTGCAAAGTTTAATATATTTACATTATTTCCATGGCGTCACTCGACTGATAATTTCTCTGGAACCGTGTCTATTGTGTTAAACAAAGATGTTGAAGAAACTTTTATGCTAATAGCAGATGACAAAAAATTAACTGCTGCGTCATATTGGTATTGTCTGGAATTTGTGGCTGAAACACCTCAACTAGTTACTTAATCAAGCCTGAGATTATGTGAACAAATATTATAATGAAAAAAAGTATAGTTGATTTCAATCATATTTCAAAAGATATTCCAGGACAGGATGTTGACGCACTAATACAATACTACAAATATTATCATAAAAAACTTTGGTGCGTTAAAAAATGCTACAAATATTATAACAAAATACTTCGAGTAATATCATATCTACCCTTGTTAATGACTAGTTCTGGCATAATTTCAAGTGGTATATCATTAAACCCGTTTTTGTTAATCATATCCGGTGTTGGTGTTTCTCTTACAGCAGCTTGTAAAAAAGTTGAACCTAAAATTTCGATAAAAAAGCACGGCTGCTTAACATCAATTATAACTTACAAAAAACTACTTGATCAAATAAGATCTTACCTACGAGGAGTAAAATATAGTATGGACGATTTAATACGTGAATTTCGTATTATTGACAACATGTTAACAGATATTCTACCCATGAGGATCAGCAAATATGAGAAAGATTATCAAAAGAAGTATGATATAACATAAAATTTTATATAATACCACTTACCTTACTGGAATTCTAATGCTTAATTTAGTCCACAATCGCCACGCACTGCTAAATCGTAATGATTTGGAAAATTGAGTCTGACATATCATTCTGCTTATTCTGGAAGATCACGTAATTAAATTTTACCTGTTACCTAGATATTTTGCAACAGGTGTTCTATTGTATTTGTTTGGAGGTCTGGAGGGGTTGTTGAGCTCGGATTCTTAGCGCAATTATTGATTGCAACAGGTGTTCTATTACGTTACCTAGGTATTTTGTATTTGTTGAGCTCGGATTCTTAACGCAATTATTGATTGCAATAGGTTTTCTATTACGTTACCTAGGTATTTTGTATTTGTTTGGAGGTCTGGAGGGGGTTGTTGAGCTCGGATTCTTACTTTCTCCTACTACTGCCGTAGCCATGTAGCATGATGTCCTACCCAGTCATATTATCCTGACACCAGGCCGACCAGTCCTAACACTAACCTCTTCATGCTGAGCGCCAAGCGAGGCAGCTGTTAGTACCATTTTTTGTTAGTCTTTGGTATGACTCGACCGGGGATCGAACCCACGACCTCTCGCATTCGAGGCGGACGCTCTAACCACTAGGCCACCGGAGCGGTAAGTCTCAATCAGAAAGTGTCATCCTACTGCGTAACAAGAATTTCCAGAAATCCAAAATTAGACGTCTTTATAACTGCTGAGTACTGAAAGAAACTCTGATCTTCCTGAGATACACAAAGAAACTCTGATCTTCCTGAGATACACCAGGGTAACACATTTGGTAAATATGTTCAGAACATACATTTAAGTGCAGCACATTTATTTTTTTTACATGCCCTTAAACCTTGAACCTGATGATAAAAGTTAACTGAACTTGTCTCAGACAATATCCCAATATAAGAAAATATTAATTATGGTCAAATCTATGATTTTGTAAAAAAAAAAAAAAAAAAAAAAAAAATTGGGGGGGGGGAAATCTCCAAAGTAGCTTAAGTGGTATAAGTCAATAAATCTTCTAGTAAATCCATATGCTAGTGATGTGATAAGACATTTTTAATGGTCTTACCAGTACCATTTTTATTTAGAACCAACAAGGTATCATAAGTCATTTAGTGAAAACTCCTTTATGACCATCTGTTCAGAAGATATAACATGATTTTTAAATGACCAATATTGCGGCTAGATGTCAAAGCCCCAATCCAAAATAATTCTGCGGGCGCTCCTATGTTTGCGAAAGGCGATAAGAAGTTAGCAAATGACCAATAGCTGACATGCTAAACAGCGTGCAATGGATGAAAGGCCATCATATGAGGCTAACAAGAGTATTGTTAACGGCATCTTATATGCTCACTCCAGGATTAATAATCCTCTGTGTAGATAACTGAAATTTATGCGCACGTTTCTTCTTTCAGTGATCTTCACTTTTATCCTTTTGACCCCAAAATCGATAGGCTTCTTCCTTACTCTAAATGCAAGCCATCCATAAAACTTTGTGAGGTCTGTTATATATATATATATATATATATATATATATATATATATATATATATATATACACACACACACATATACATACCTTACTAAGCAGAAACTATTTTTGTTCTTTCAATCAGCGATCTTGAGAGTGGACCCCAAAATCAATCAACTACTTCCTTACCACAAGTGCAAATCATCCAAAACGTTTATGGTACATCATGCAAAACTAACAAATGTTTTCATAAACCTTTTTCTTCTTTTAATCTCAGCGACCGTAACCACTGACTATTTGACTCAAATATCGATATAGCTCTTGCATTATGTGAAATCCATTCAGAACGTTTGGTAACCGTACATGATAAAAAAACAAAAATTATTGTAAGAAAAACATTCCTGAATACTGACAATGATCTCTTGACTATATGAGCCCAAATCTGATAGGGTTTTTCTATATCCTAACTGCAAGCCACACATAAAGTTTGGTAACTAGATGGTGGAGAACTAGAATTATTGTGCATAAATATTTTTTTTTACGTCAGTTACGGTGATGTAGACCTTTGACCCTGAAATTGATAGGGTTCTTCTTTACCAAAAGTGCAAACCGCCTACAATGTCTTGTAACTGAAGATAGTGGACAGATCGTGCAGAATCCAAAGTGGTAACACGGACAGACTGATGACAACATTTAACGTACTATGTTCTGCCTTATGGTGGGTGTGTACACAACAATTTGTCTGGCCTTCCCAATCATTCTTGGAACAGAGGCATTTACATAGTTTCAAATATTTCTTTGAATGTTCATTTGTCCACATATACCAAACGCATTCCTTTAACACTATTGACATATTGGTAGGGTTAATTTTTTTAATTAATATAATTTTTCTTACATTAATTTTTTTAATTCGTTTTAATTACCCCATGTTTTTTTTGAAATGATAAATTAAACCGATTTCAAGTTGTGAATGAATCAATACACAAGTAATGAACTTGAAATTAAACGAGGTCATTGTTGTTTCACAAAATCACGAAGAGAAATGTCTGATTCAGCAGTTTCTATTCAGATTAATCCAAGGCAAACATTACTCAATCAAGCTCAGTCATTAAGTTGTCGTGTGCAATAACCCTACCAATATGTCAAAAGCTTATAAATACTCCAAACATGGAAATCTGCTGAATACAGGGTCTTCAAGGTAATTTTATGTAGCCTAATTTTAATTTTGTTCCTAAGCCAACGAAATTTTTTTGCTATTGGTCTTTAGATCTCATTCACTCCAAAGATAGTTCCCTTGTTAATACTCCATTTACCTTGTTCCTCATTTGCAGTTCATAATCCTTGTGAATATATTGGTCTACCAACAAAATACGCTGTTTGTGGAAAGTCTCCCCACGCCATGAACATGACAAATTTAAAGCTACAAAAATTTATCTAAATATTTAATATCAATATTCAATAATTAGAGGTTTTAAAAATGCAAGAATGTTATATACATTAAGGAAATATTATTGGTTGTACAAGTATTCGTGGTTGAGGTGCTTTGTAAACAGAAGGGAAACAAATTATTGGCTTCAATTCAGTTTCTTATAAGACCAAGAGTACAATATAAAATGAGTACCAAAAATGGAATTTTACATGCATTTTCTGTAATTAAATAGTCCCTTATGTAGGCACTTGCCACACTTCACTAAATGCCAGGAAACTAATATCCTATTCAACTTACCATGACAATGCTCTCTGACCTTTTAGCATAAAATCTTGAAGTTACTTTATTAGCCTAAATGCATGCTGTCCACAAATCGTTGTCAAGAACAATAATTATTCTGCTAAATCTGATTTTCTTTAGCCACCAGTTCTTAACCTTTGACCCCAAAATCAATAGGATTCCACAAACATTGGTTAAAAAAACCAAACAAAACACATGGCCTAGAAGTAAAATTATGAGGCAGAAAGTTATTTTTTGTCTTTTGGACACAGTAACCACTGAGGTTTGAGTCCAAAATTAGTTGTGCTCTTTCTTATTTAAAGTGCAAGTCATTCACAAAGCTTGATAACTCCAGATGAAAACAACTGCAGCTATTGTTCAGAAACAAACTTAGCAACTGACAAACTGAATTGATGGTCGCACAACATAAATCTCTCTCTCTCTCTCTCTCTCTCTCTGCGTTATAGTGGGCACTGAAAAAACTATCATTAAAAAAGCAAGAAGCATTTACATAATTTAGAATTTTATTAATATTTCTAACAATGTCATTTATGAATATCATGGTTACATGTACACTTGTTAGTTTAAATTTTTGTCAAGAAGAAAAGTTCAAGTTAAAAGAATAAAAATCAACTGGGGAACTAACTTTAGTTTGCACAAAAGTACATAAACAAGGCTATTCATTCTACGTTTGACTGATGCTAAAGTTTTATTACTGGAAGTGTATTGTTGCAAAGACAATACATACATACGTAATTTTCACTTAAATGATGAAAGATTTAAGTCTACCAAAATTAATTTTTTTTGTTTTTAGAAACAATTATGATGACCATTGAAATACCACCACAAAATTGTACCTCCCATTTCCATTCAATAAAAGGTTGTGTTTGGTTTAGTGATTCATAGTACACCAAAACATCAAGGTTTTTGAGACAACTGAAGTATAATCTTTGGTCACTGACACAGCACAGTATCCAATCAAAGCTGTTCTGATGACAGGATTCAAACCTGGACCCTTTCTGTTTGGAGTCATGCACACTATCCACTGTGGCTCCCTACCCATTGAAAGAATCATGTGGCATATTTTTTGGATGGGTATGGATTTGTACAACACAATGACTCCCTAAACAATGAAAGCATTATGTGGTAAATATTCTGAATGCACATGACTTTGTTTAATATAATATATTCTGTAAACAACAATCAGAAAAAAAGTTACAGAGAATAAATTCTTTTTATTCCATCTCAAGTATACACAGCTACCTACTCCAGCATGTGTCATTCTTTAGTTGATTTGTATTTAGCTGTCATTTCTTCCTTATGAGAATTACAACCCTTTTTATTTTAAAGTATGAAGCAAGTACATCAAGTACAAAAGTGACTGTTTCAGATAAAATCCTACTTCTGGTGACATTACGAAACTTGCTTCTAACTTGTAGATATGGCCCATGCACAAATTATTCAATATTTAGTTTTCATTCTACTATCCAGTGGTTAAGGGAATGGATTTGTGACAATAGGAGATGAGGGGGGGGGGAATTTGATTCATACCATCAGATCTGCCTTGATCAGGTATCCTCTAAGTGGGTTATCCAAGGGCAAGGATTTTTACCATATATATTTTCACCTATAAGACATGTCCAACTGCAAGATGCAAAGACTCAGATCTGCCAATGCTTAATGTTCCAGCAGATCTAGGTTTGTACAATTTGTTCAGAGTAATCAGTAGAATAATAAACCCTGATCTGCAGGCACATTATGCCATGGTAGATCAGCATCTTTGTTGCTTTCAGTTTGACTCAACTTATAAGCGAGTATATATGGTATTCTCTTTTTCCAGGTTACAATATAACCTTCAAGCATTGCAGTACTGTAAAATACTGAAACCAAACTGTCAACATTAATGTTGAAGAAAATAAGTGACTCATCAACCATATACTGAGAGTGCTTGTATGGAAAAAAAATGTCAGGTGTATGCTTCTGATTGCTGCACCAAACAATGGTACCTTGTTAGGTCTTACTTATGCAGCATCAGACCTGGGTAAAGTGACTGGATTTAAAATATAATTCCTTGATTATTTTCTCCAGACAGTTTTCCCAATGTAACAAAAAAAACAAAACAACAGTGACTTATTCATCAATCAATGCAAACAGAAACTTTAGCAGTAAATAAGCCTGGTCATGAAAAGAATGTAGATAATTTTAATTTTAATTACTTACCCCACTTGTCAAACATATTTAATGTTTATGTTTGTCGAGCACAACAACGGTTCATTAACCCAAAAGTTTCTTACTAACTTCCTTAACTTACAAAAATTCATCTAAATATAGACTTACTTTTTAATTTATCTTAGCAAAAATGAAGTTTCATGATAATATTCTGAGTTTTGGATATTAAAATGTCTATTTTTAATCAATTTTTTTAAAAAAAAGGTAATATGTGTGTATA